CCCTGCTGAGAAGGCGGTGGCGACTGGGCGTGAGATGTCTACAGCTGTTGCAAGACAGCAGGAGAAAGCCCTGAGCTGAAATCACTCTCCGTCTGCATACTTTTTAGCCTGCTCAGGAACCAGGTAAAGGAGGCAGGAAGTTAGGAAGGAGTTGATAAAAGGCAGAGAAAGGAGGTGGCCAGAGGGAAGGGTAGTGCTCACCACTTCAGAAGGCTTAGTAGGTTATGAGCAGGGGGGTCCATGTTTTTGGTGGGGGTGGGGGAGGAGGCACTAGGTGTACTGAAGGAAGTCACCTCCTCATTCCTTTTTTTTTGGGGGGGGGAGGTTTGCTGTCAAGTTATGGTCAACTTACGGCAACCCCTAAACAGCATGATAAAAAGTAGAGACATCACTCTGCCAACAAAAGTCCGCATGGTCAAGCAATGGTATTCCCAGTAGTCATGTATGGCTGTGAGAGTTGGACTATAAGGAAGGCCGAGCGCCGAAGAATAGATTCTTTTGAACTATGGCGCTGGAGAAGACTCTTGAGAGTCCCTTGGACTGCAAGAAGATCAAATCAGTCAATCCTAAAAGAAATCAACCCTGACTATTCCCTGGAAGGCCAGATAATGAAACTGAAGCTCAAATACTTTGGCCACCAAATGAGAAGGGAGCACTCACTGGAGAAGACCCTGATGCTGGGAAAGATTGAAGGTCAAAGAAGACGGGGATGGCAAAGGATGAGATGGTTAGACAGTGTCATGGATGCAACGAACATGAAATTGAGCCAACTTCAGAGGACAGCGGAAGACAGGAAGGCCTGGCAGGATCTGGTCCATGGGGTCGCGAAGAGTCGGACTCGACTGTGCGACTGAACAACAACGAAAATGGCAACCCCATGGAGGTTTCAAGACAAGAGAGGGACACTGGTGGTTTGCCGTTGCCTGCCTCCGTGTCACAGCCCTGGTATTCCATGGAGGTCTCCCATCTAAATACTAGCCAAGGTGGAGCTTGCTTAGCTTCCAAGATCTGATGAGGTTGGGCTAGCCTAGCTCCGAAGTAAGGGGACACCAACCCAAGTGACCACAGCTAAGGTCAGCCGGAGTAGTGATTCCAGTCTTCGATTAGGAGCCAGGAGATCCAAAGTCAAACCCTTCCATTATCATGAAACCTTCTGGGTCCCTTGTGGACCAGTCATGTTCTAACAGCCTACTCCACCTCACAGGTCTGTCATGAGGATAAAATGAGAAAGGAGAAACAAGTATGAGCTGTCTGGTGTGAGGTAGGTGGGGCTCAGAGAGCTCTTGACAGAAACTGCTCTTTTTCAAGGACAGCTCTTATCAGAGCTAAGGCTTGCCCAAGGCCATCCAGCCAGGTGCAAGTGGAGGAGTGGGGAATCAAACCCGGTTCTCCCAGATTAGAGTCTGCGCACTTAACCCCTACACCAAACTTATGTTCTTAACCACATTCAAATACCCCGGGCCAACGCCATACTGACTGCAGATTCACCCCTGAACAGCCATAAAACGGCCTTAAATCTATGCAGACGGTACCATAAAACCGAGAGATCAAAGGAAGGGAAACCCGCATGCAGGGTGGAGGGGAGGCTACTATAAAATCCAACAATCAAAGAACGTGAAAGTGGCATGCAATGGAGAGGGGAATTTCTGTTCTGACATGGGTTTGGTAAAACAGCGGAGCAAATGCTAGATGCAGAATGGAACTAAATTTGGAGCACAGAGAAGCACATGTGGGATATTCGTCCGTCTTCCCTCTATTGGCATCTTTCGCCAGCAGATGAAGATTTTTTTTTGTCCTGTTTAGCATACCCCAATAATGGTATTGGCCCTCTTCTATGGCTATTTTTGCATGTTTTTATTTTAATTTTAAAGACCTCCCCCCCCCCCCCCCCCCCCCCCCCGTTTGGCACACCCTTGGTAATGGTATTGGTCCTCCTTCTGTCTAGTGCTATGTGTTAAGATGTTTTTAATTGAATGTTATAGTTTTCACTGTCTTTTTAACTGTTTAAATGTTGACTGCCTTTTGGACCTTGATTAGGTGGAAAGGCAGATGCCGAATGTTTTAAATAAATGCATATGCAGGGAGAAGATAACAACATTGATGTGCAAAGAGGTGCAAGCAGAGGCATGAACAGAAATGTTTGTGCATAATCCATACTCCAAACAAGTGAATCACTTCTTAAGTGTTTATTGAAACAGGCTCTTTGGCAGGAGTTCAGTACATATAAATATATTATATACACATCAGTACAAATCCTGGCTATTCATCCATTCACAGTCATTCGTGAAATTATAAAACTGATAGCGTTCATATGAATGGGCGACGGGCCACCCTTTCAAGTCATGGGATCTGTCTCTGCAGAACACTCTTTTGTTCAAACATTCTGTCTTTCCTTTCTTGCTCCATTTCACTACCTGTGATCCAGTATGGCTACAGTGGTTAGAGTAACAGGTTAAGACTGGGGGGAAGGAGGAGGAGGAGGAGATTGGATTTATACCCCGCCCTTCACTACCGAAGGAGTCTCAGAGCGGCTTACAATCTCCTTTCCCTTCCCCTCCACACAACAGACACCCTGTGAAGTAGGTGGGGCTGAGGGAGGCTCTTTCGAGAACTGCTCGTGACGGAACAGCTCTGAAGTAACTTGTGACTGACCCAAGGTCACACCAGCAGCTGCATGTGGAGGAGTGGAGAATCAAATCTGGTTCTCCGAGATTAGAGTCCACACTCCTAACCACTATACCAAACTGGGGACAGGGTTCAAATCCTCACTCAGCCCTGAAGCTTACTGAGGGAACTGGAGCTGGGCACTCTTTTGAAACATAAGTCCTGGTTTCTCAGTGCTTCGAGGCAGCACTAGAATGACCCGGGTAGTGCAGGGAGGCTCTTAATAAAGAACCCCTCCCCCATGAATGCCTTGTGAAGATCCCATTCTGGATCTTCACAAAGTGAAGACGCCACCAGGCTTTTCTTCCATGGGAAAAGTTCCACCCCAGCAATTCCACCAAACAAACTGAACAGAATCCAGAGACTCTCTGAGGTTCCTGGGGGGCTTTCAGTCAGACTGCCCCAAAAGTCTACTGCTTACCCCCACACTGGAATTCAAGAATGTGAAATGCCTTCCTCTACACAGCAAACCCTAGACTTTCTCTGTGGTCTCCTACCCAAATACTACCTGTGGCTCGCCTTGCCTAGCTCTGTTAACAATTAAATTAAAAAGAACATACAAAATATAGCAAAAACTCAATTCATCTCCCTTCCTAATGCTTGAAACCTAAGAGTTAGGGGCTTGGGACCTCCCAAGCACTGATCATTCAATCACCGCACTGTGGCCTTGAAGAAGAAGAAGACTCCTATAGTTTTCAAATGCTTTCTGTTAGGGCAAATGGAAGAATAGGGTGCTGGATTCAAATCCTAATATGGCATTAAGGAAACCATGAAATATGGAACTGCTTCCCCAAGGGAGTCCACCCAATCCCATTTGGATGGCGTCTTTGAGAGAACGAATGGTAATTTCAAGAAAGCATTTCTCGTATGATTTTTTTTTAACGTCAATCTGCTCCTAGACTTTATTATATTTGTTCAGCATTAGAATTTTAAAAGCTTGTTGTAATTGGATTCGTCCTCTTCACACTTCGGCTCTAGTGCGCTTGCGTGTATTTGCTGTGACTTCATTGCCTGGGGCCGTGACCTACCTCCCAGCTTTGGCAGAAGGCGGGATATAAATATTTTAATAAATATATAAATTAAATAAATAGGGAAGGGGGAAGAGGTTACGAGACAGGGGCTCCACAGCCATCTTCATCACCAGAACCATTGTAAAAAAATAAAAATAAATCAGAGAGAAATAGCCCTATAGCCAGTAGGGCATCTGGGAGGTTTCAAACTAGGGATCCAAACCAGCAATCTGTAATCACTGCAAACTGGGCAGACTTTCTAGCCAATCCAAAAAAATATCTAGGCTCTGAGTTTGCTCCTCAGTTTAAGAAGTCTGGAATCACTGCAGGTCCTGGTTGCAGCCACGCGGGAAGGGGGGAGGGCAAAGAGGGTGATGGCGGCTGTCGCGGGGGGACTGCAACAAGCACAGGAAGCTTGGGTCTGCCCTGGCCTGCTGCCAAGACTATCCCCAAAGCTGGAGAGGGCTAGGGGGGCGGGGGTGGCCAATATGCCCATTTGAAGCACAGCGCCACCCCGGGTTGCCTCTTTGCCGCGTGGGTTTTTGCCCGCTCACCCCTCCCAATTTTCTTGTTAGAAGAAGAACAAGAGATTGGATTTATACCCCACCCTTCACTACCTCAAGGAGCCTCAGAGTGGCTTACAATCTCCTTTCCCCTCCCCTCCCCACAACAGGCACCCTGTGAGGTAGGTGGGGCTGAGAGAGCTCTTTTAAGTACTGCTCTTGAGAGAACAGCTCCAAAAGAACTTGTAACTGACCCAAGGTCACACCAGCAGCTGCCTGTGGAGGAGTGGGGAATTAAACCTGGTTCTCCCAGATTAGAGTCCGTGCTCCTGACCACTACACCAAACTGGCTCTCCTGTTACCTCTGTCTGTGGCACAATCGAGCAACAGACACATCCCATAAGGGTGCAGATCTCAAATCCTTGGCCAAATGCTGCTCCTTTTTGACTTACTTTGCAGGGTGGTCGTTTTTACAAATAAAGCAAGGGGTTTTGGACTCAGAAGTGCTTCCTCAACACGTGTGTGTTAGTGCTAAACAAAGGTACGTAGATACAATTTAAATATATAGTTTAAGGATGGTTAGGATCATTGTACTGGAGAGCGGTCAGGCAGCATGGCAGGAAAGGGGCTAATGTTGGGCTAGAGTGATTTGAGTTCCAATCCCACCTTAGCCATGAAGTTGGGTCACTGAGTTGCCTTGGACCAGTCGCACTCTCTCTCAGCCTAACCTACCTCCCAGGGCCATTGTGAAAATAAAAAGAGGCCGGTGGACCATCTCTTTGCTCTTCACCGTATCGTGTGGACACCAGCTATCGCTTAGGAAAGGGGCTACTTTTGGGCTAGAGTGATTTGAGTTCGAATCCCACCTTAGCCATGAAGTTGTGTCACTGAGTGGCCTTGGACCAGTCACACTCTCTCTCAGCCTAACCTACCTCCCAGGGCCATTGTGAAAATAAAAAGAGGCCGGTGGACCATCTCTTTGCTCTTCACCGTATCGTGTGGACACCAGCTATCGCTTCCTCTTCAGACTAGTTTGGGGTTGGACCACGGGCTCACTATTCCAGACAGCAGAACCCGGTGATCCTGTCAACCTCTTTTGGTTTTGCTTGCGCTTCATCATAAGCTTTTGAGAAACTCTGTGATGTCCTTTACCATGAGTCCTGCAGACGGAAAGGAGAAGATGCCATAGCCAAAAAGGCTGAGGACTCCGTGGATGCCACCCTCAGTGTGGCACAGTGTCACGGGCACCCCGTTGTCCTCTAAACGTTTCTTGTACAGGAGCCCATCGTCTCTAACCACATCGAATTCACAGATCAAAATGTACGTCTGGGGGAGTTTGCGGATGACGGCGTCTTCCACCAACAGGGGAGAAAAGTTTTCGTCCAAAACTTCTTTGATCTGTTCGTATACCTGGGGCTTAAACTTATACAAGGAAGGATCCTGGGGTTTGTAGCCTCGGACCTTGAATTCGTCAGGAATAAGGTCTCCGCTCACCCACTTACTGTACTTTTGTTTCAGGTCTTCAGGAACATGGCAACCTTCCAAAACATCAGCGGTAAGGGACACATCCTTTTGAAGATACAGGCATGCGAAATAGACCACAAATTCTCGCCACATGATCGGCACCCTTCTGTTTTGTTGATAGGAAGGCAGATAGAAGTCCACCCCCTGCAGGGCTGGGTAGATCAAAACTTGCGCGTGCACTTTGGGGAGATCTGTCCTGTCCTCCAGCAACTGACAAATGCGGGTTGCAAAATTGGCCCCGCAGCTGTCCCCGCTAATGATAATACGGCTGGGATCCACACCGAAATCTTCGGGATTCTTCATGAAATGGACAGCAGCCTTGAGACATTCGGTATATTGGTTTGGGTATGGGCTCTCCGGACCCAAGTTGTACCTACGGAAAACAGGTATTATCATGGCTCTGGGTACAAGATGTAAACTACAGTATGTTCAGAATGCAGGTTAGATTACTGTAAGGTGCTCTATATGGGGTCCCTTGGTAAACCTGCAAGTAAACTTCAATACGTCCACAATGCAGAGGCCAAGCTATTGTCCAAGTTTTATTCAGGTACAAGCTCTCCCTCCTCTGCGAGGACAGATCTGCATGTCCCCCCCGCAATAGTTAGCAATCCAGTACAGTTCAGTGGAGCCTGAGTGGTGGGTGTTGCCTTCTGACACACATCCGGTGATGTCAGGGGGTGTGGCATATGCAAATGAGTTATGCTAATGAGTTATGCTAATGAGCTCCTGCACCTCTTTTCCTACTAAATGGCCCCTGCCCAGAAGTACCGTTGTCATGTCGCCGATGTCAGGGGTGTGTGTGTGTGTGCTCTAGTATTTGAGCAAACTCTATAGTTTTGAAGTTAAAAAAAACACATATAGAGTTTTGCCCAAAAACTAGAGTGTCACCCCCCGACATCGGCGACATGACAACAGCACTTCTGGGTGACGTCATTGTGCCATGTATGCTTCACACGCGTGCAGAACATCCCAGAGAGAATCCGGGAGCCCCCCGCCCCCAGGCAGGAAGGACCTGGCAACCCTAAGCATGAGTTATCATCAGAGGATGATTGGTCCCTGAGACTCACACCGGCAGACACTCCCTGTAAGGTAGGCCCCTGTGAAGCAGACCCTCCTCCCAGAAGAGATCCTTCATCGGTACAACCACTAGCCCGAGCCAGAAGGGTCCTCAAGACAGGTGGCACCAATATGGCTACAGCTCCTTCCTCGGGAAAGGCTAAGGCAAAGAGCCAGGGCATCGGCCCTGAGCAGATGCAGGAGTGTGTACCTGGCAGCAGGGCTAATTTTGGGCAGGAACCCACAGGAACGGAGTCCCGGCTGGCTCCCAAGTTGGCCACGCCCAGCAGGAACTCATTAGCATAATAGGCCACACCCAACAGCAGAAACTCATTAGAATTGGCTACATTAGGGGTGTGTGGCCTAACATGCAAAGGAGTTCCTGCTACAAAACAAGGCCCTGGGTTTTGACAACAAAGAAGGGAAACAGAATAAGAAGCAAAAGGTGGGTGTGGCTGGATGACCACACTTCTGGTAACATGGGGGTGTGGCCTAATATGCTAATGAGATGTGCTGTCAGAGGTATGGCCTAATATGCTAATGGGTTTCTGCTGTTGGGTGTCGCCTATTATGCTAATGAGTGACTGCTTGGCTTTTTCTACAAAAGAAACCCTGGACACAACCGTGGGTGAGTCTTTTTTTTCCCCCCTGTCTGTTTCCCTTGTGCATAAACGAGGAATCGCACCTCCGCACTGAGGAACCCCTATGGAGTATGCGATGATGCACATACTACGAAGGGGGGGGGCACGGCATCGAGTCAGGATGGCCTGATCAGACCATCCCGATGGCATGAGAGCGTGCTTGAGTGATGAGACAGGGGAAAGTCCACCCATTGCCCACCTTATCCAGATAATACTGGACTTTCCCCAGTGTCTTTTAACTTCACTTCCATGGCAGAGCAGTATGGAATGCTGAGGACTGCGGGACGCTTCCCAGCTTTTGCTGTCCGATTGCTCCCTTTAGATCCATCCCAGAAGTGCCGTTGTCATGTCTCCGATGTCGGGGTGTGTGTGCTCTAGTATTTGAACAAACTCGATAGTTTTGAAGTTAAAAAAAAATTCATGCCTATGTTGGACCTAAAGGAGTGCATCAGGCATTCATGCCTATGTTGGACCTAAAGGAGTGTGTGATCGCAACCACAGATCAACTGCTCCTCTCTTTCCCAGGAACAAATCAAAGTGCATGTTCTTATCCTTTAAGGTGCCACCACAAGAAGCCCTGTCTCTAGTTGCCAGGTGTTCAAGGTGAATGTGTGGCAACCAGGGACAGGGCTTCTTCAGTGGCGGCATCTTTCCTTTTCAACACCCTGTCCCGTGATCTGGCTGTCACAACGCAAGCTTCAGGCGAAGAGGCTTGAGTATCCTATTCGGTTGTGGAAGCAGGCAGGTTTTCAGGATTGGTTGCCTCCGGGCAAATTTTATTTCCGTATTTAAAACATTTATTAGCGGCCTTTCTTCCTTATGGATCTCATGGTGGCTTACGACATAAATAAAATACATAACGTAAAAAACCCACAAAATTTAAAGTAGCAATTCAGGACTGTTAGTAAATTTAACCAAATGCAATCCTAAATGAAACAGTCTTCAGCTGCCTCCTAAATATAGAATGAGAGGGGACCCAGTGCCTCTCCCTGGGGTGTTTGTTCCATAATCATGGGCAGGGGTCATTTCGTAGAAAAAGAGGTGCAGGAGCTCATTAGCATAACTTATTTGCATAGGCCACACCCCCTGACATCACCGGAAGTGTGTCAGAAGGCAACACCCACCGCTCAGGCTCCACTGAACTGTTTTGGATTGCTAGCTATTGGGGGGGGGGACACGGGCAGATCTGTCCTCACAGAAGAGGGAGAGCTTGTACCTGAATAAAACTTGGTCTTAAAGGTGCCACTGGACTGTTTTGGACCGGGGGGCCGGGGGGGGGCTCTGCAACTTACCTGGCTGCTTCTTGCTTTGACTGAGGGCTGCTGGGAGCAGGGGGTGGGGCTCGTTGCATGTGCCCGCCCCCTGGGCTCTTTATTGCCGGAGCTCCGCTCCTGTGCGCTCCTGCAGGAAATGACCCCTGATCATGGGGCTGCCACTGAAAAGGCCCTGTCTCATGTACCCACCAAATGAGCTTCTTTGATTGACGGGGCAGTCAGGAGGGGCTCTCACTGTGATCTTAATTCTTGGGCAGCAACATTTGGGAGAAGACAGTCATTCAGATAACCTGGTCCCAAACCATGTAGGGCTTTGAAGGTCAAAAGCAGCACCTTGGCCCTTCCCTTCCCCCATGATATTCCTTGTAATTAGTACGATATCCCACAATTACAGTAAGATTTCACAGGTTCTGACGTGAACAAACAACATAATGGGGTGGGAGGGAGAGGAATTTTTTTACTGCAGTTACAGGTTTCTTTGTCCTCTCTGTTGCTGGTAATGTTAAATGAAACATAATTTTTAGACAGATTCCGCCTTCAAAATCCCAGAATGAATCTCAGATTGGACCCTGCCAGGTTATCAACATTGTACATAATTTCAGCTCTGATTTCGGATTTCGAAGATAATATTTCTGGGTTGTCAATACCAGGTTGGAAAATTCTCGGAGATTTTGTGGGTGGAGCCCGGGGAGGGCGGGGTTGGTGAAGGGGAAGGGACTCAGGGGCTTATAACGCCATGCAGTCCACCCTACAAAGCTGCCATCTTCTCTGGGGGAATTTATCTCAGCCATCTAGAGATCAGTTTTAATCCCAGGAGACATTCAAGCGCCACTGGAGGCTGGCAATCCTATTCACAGGCAATCACGATGCGCTGAGGGTACTTACCCGACAGCCACAACCACCGAATCAGTCTCTTTGGCAAAATGGCGTAATATTCTCTCATAGGTATCTGAAAGGAAGCATTTCCCCCCACTCTTATTTATTTGTTTAAAATGTTTCTGAACATCCTCAAGGCAGCGAACCAAACCAAGTTAAAAGCATGCCATGAATACTAAAACTCAGCACAAATACACAGAGTATCAGAACAAATCACAGCAGTGACCAATTCAATGTTCCCCTCTAAGCTGTGGAGTCCTGTGAGCAAAAAATCCTACTTTGTGAGCTACTGGCATCTAAGTAGTGGGCGAGCGATTTGGCTGCTGCATAAATTAGTTTGCTCTGGAGCCCTCCTTCCTGAGCAAAGACAAAAATGTGTGAGCCAGAGGCTAAAAAACTGTGAGCTAGCTCACACTAACTCAGCTTAGAGGGAACACTGTTGCCCATCTGTAGGAAAACCCCCCCCACACACTGATGAGATAAAGCCGAGACAAAGCTATTTGACTGAATGTTACGTTTTGATGCAAGAGAGTTCAGAGATGTGCATCTTCCGACTTTTTCAGCTCACCTTGAAAAAATATTGGGGTTATTTTTGGCAAGCAGTCTTGTCAAGTACTCAAAAAATCCCAAGCATTTTTCTTCTTCAAGTGCTCAATAAGGACTCTTTAAAAAAGAAGAAACAAGTGAACGTTTTTGCCTTTTTGCCTGTTTCCAGCTTTCAAAGCAAGAAAGCCTTTCCTTTGCAAAGGAGAAAGTGGAAATGGGCAGAGGTTAGAGCCTTTAAGCGGAGATGGATTTATGCACAAACTAAGCAGGATACAGTTGAGTGCCTCAAATTATTAGGGGCCTTCAAATCCAAAAACAAAACACCCCTTCTCCCAAATTTCAAGTTTTAGATAAATGGTTAAAAGATGGCAATATGATGGATGGTGGGGACGATCCACCATAAGTTGGATGGCTCAAGGTAGCCTGATCTCGTCAGATCTCGGAAGCTAAGCAGGGTCGGTTCTGGTTAGTACTTGGATGGGAGACCACCAAGAGAAGTCCAGGGTTGCTACACAGAGACGGGTACTGGCAAACCACCTCTGTTCATCTCTTGCCATGTTCATCGCTTGCCGTCAGCTGCCGATCAGACATTGATGGTGAAGCGTGGCAAAGAAGGGGGGGAAGAAGCGGCATGGCGCGATCACACGCTGCTGCTTCCCGATCAGACGGGCATTTTTCCCCCCAAACCGGAGTTCCCACATGCGCACGACCACGGAAGCAAATCCATAGAACCGTGGGCATGCGCGCAAAAAAAAAATATTTCCGGTGTGAGAAGGGACACAGACGGGCGCCGGATGCGACGGGATACCAACAGTTCCACGATCCAATGCCCACCGGGCCCCGCGTCTTCTGCAAAATACTTCACTGCAGTTTCCCAGGTATCTTTTTACTCCGCATCTTCGGCGGGGCGATACGGGTTGCTGACGGGTGCGGGACACTTGCCAGATGTTCCCGTGTGATCGCGCCTGTAAAATCCACCTGGCACTCGTCCCTATTGCACAGCTGATTCTGCGTGTGACATGGACCAGAGGCAGGCAATGGCAAACCACCTGATTGGCTGGGAACATGCCCTGAAGAACACTGATTACCTTTGCAGTTGCACAGAAAACAGCACCTTATCCAGGACCGGGAAGCAAATACTGGCAGACAGAGAAACACAGAAATCCACTGTGGCAAATGTTTTTCGTACTTCCTGAAAGCTCATATTTCCCATTAAAAAACCTCATAAAAAGTGAGTGCAGTACGGATACTTGGGTTTTCTAAAAACTTGATTAAAAAGAACACTGCATGCATATTTTTTTTTGGCAAGGTCCAAGACGACCCGTTGTCGTTTAAAGAGGCCATTCCTCACTTACCGATGCTTCCGTAAGTACCAGCCCCTCCGTGGAAGTACAGGATCCCTTTCCTTTTTTGGGCAGCTGGCTTTTTAGGCTGATAAACCCTCACTCTCACGCCATCAAATTGGTGGTTCTGGATGAGCAGCGCCGAGCTCCACAAAACAGGGAGACCCTTAGTTGCGATCCGCAAAAGGCCTACTATGCTGTTCAGCCCCAGGAACTCCAAGACCATTCCCTGTTTGTGAAAAGAAAAAGAAATGGCGAAGCAGCAAGAGGAATTAGCTGGGCAGGGAGAGAGCACCGAGGTCTGCATTGCCTGTCCAACTGAGCAGAGGGAGGGTTGCCATAGGGTTGCCAGATCCAGGTTGGGAAACTCATGGAGATTTGGAGATGGAGCCTGGGGAGGACGGGGACCTTAATGGACTACAATGCCATAGAGTCTCCCCTCCAATGCCATAGAGTCCCCCTTCCATTTTCTCCAAGGGAACTGATCTCTGTAGTCTGGAGATGAGCTGTAATTCTGGGAGATCTCCAGGTCCCACCTGGAGGCTGGCATCCCTAGTTTGCTAGTCCTTCATTGGTTGTGACGCAGCATTGAGATTCAGGGCTGAATCTTTCCTTTCGTTTCCTGCATTGCACCGAAGTGGAACAAAGAGAAAGAAAACTATCAGTTAATTGATTTAGAGAACTTATATGTCGCTTCTGCAGAGGCCTACGTGGGGTGGATCGCAAAGTAAATTAAAGCACATGAAAACAACATGGGAATGATCACTGTGAGAACAAGCCAGGGTCCCAAAAACGGCATAAAAGAGAATTCATCAGGTCAAAATGGTATTCCTCTCCTTTTTGTAGTCACTTGTTTCTAACATTTTCCACCAGGAAACACCCATCCTCAGTTGAATTTTTGAAGGTACCTTGCAATAATTTCTTACTGTTAGCCGCTTAGAAATCACCAGACAGCCGTTCTTGGGTTTCGCAAACGGCGAGCACGGATGAAGTGACAGATAAAGCTGCCTTGTACCAAATGAGACCATTGGTCCATCAAAACCAGCACTGTGACATTGTCTACTCAGACTGGCAGTGGGTTTTCAGTCAGATGTCTTTCACACACCCGTGCTTCCTGATTCTTTTATCTGGCAATGCTGGGGCTTAAACCTGGGATCTTCGGCACGCAAAATGGAGGCTCTTCCAGCGAGCCACAGCGCCTTCCCTAAGAGAGGGAGTGGAAATGTGTTCCTTTCTATTAGTGCTGTAGGATTGCCAGGCCAGTGCTGGCACCTGGTGAGAGATTCCAGGTGATAGTGTCACATTGATGCCATGACATCACTTCCTGTGCAAACTGGAAGTGATCCCACAGGTTTGTCCAGAAGTGGTGTTGCGGTGTCGTCACGATGCTGATCCTCCCACCCAATCAGGGGTCATTTCGGGGGGGGGGAACGCAGTTCCCCCGGGTGAGGTGCGGGGGCAGGGCACACAATGAAGCCCCGCCCCCTGCTTCTGCCCGCCCCGCTTCCAGCCCTCATTCAGCTAGGAGGAGGCAGGAGAAGAGGGAGGGTAAGGGGGGGGGAACGCAGTTCCCCCGGGTGAGGTGCGGGGGCAGGGCACACAATGAAGCCCCGCCCCCTGCTTCTGCCCGCCCCGCTTCCAGCCCTCATTCAGCTAGGAGGAGGCAGGAGAAGAGGGA